TATAAGCGCAACTTTTTAAGCAGCGATACTAAAAGTGGATTAAATATTTAAATAACTTGGGAAGAGGATCACAAAGCCTAGTAGACTAGGTTTATTTTCGGACCAGTTCCCATTTCATGGGCTTCAAACATGGATTCTACTTTTTCATTTCGATCTTTATTGTTTAATTTAAAACAACACTCACCTTTTTCTATAATATAAAAAAAATTAAAGTTCGAATTATTTTTTTTCTTTAAAACGTAATTAACTACGAATGTCCTGTATAATGGATTTAGTAATCGTATCTCTGGAGAATAAACTATAAATCCCTTGTTTTATTAATAATTAAAACAATAAAATATAAACACATACCTTTATACCACATGCAAGAAACGAACTTTGCGATTTTTTTGCTTCAATCAAATCAAACATACTTCTGCCTCCCTTTACCTCTAAAAAAGCTTTCACTATACATTGGACATTATATAAACTAATATGTATATTTCGAAGTACTAGAGATAAAGAACAGATGATCTATAAATGAGCTTAATTTTTTAGATGAACCTAGTGATTATGAATGCGCCTGATGATTATAAACACATACGTACACATACACGGGTGGACCACTTGCTTCAATTTAATAATAGGTAACTAGAAACTTGTAACATGATACTGTTGATATATAGAGATCGGTGAGAGTTTTAGACAACGAAATATACCGTACCTTTCATTTTGTCCTGCTTCATCAATATGACATCTTTTTTTGCACTAACTTCATTTCACTTCTACATAAATGTTGAGGCATTCCTCACTTCCACTCCTTCCTTCATCTCTCTCTTCCCCTTTAAGCCTTTGCCTTCTAGTTCTTTCCCTCCAATGCAATCGCACTGTCTATTTATTAATTATAGCCTCGATAATTAAACAAAATAAAATATTAAATATATGTACAGATAATAAGACGAACAGGAAATTGATTATAAAAGTGATCGTGCACAAATGGATGTCATGTGTAACGAACTTCACATATTTGATTGAATTCTATATATTTAGCTCCTAACTTTAGGCTGTCATTAGTGACCGATCTAGAAGCTAATAAATAGGGGAGGTCCAAATTGAACATAAAACATTGAGTGGGGGCTAATATTTATTTTAAAAAATTTTACAAGTAAAACTTGTTAGTTTTATCAAGGGAGTATATAAGTGAGGGAGAAAGTAACACTTTCAACCGTTGGAAAGTGAAGTGTTGGCGGGGGGAAAAATGCCATGGTGCGTAGGCGTTGGTTACATAATTTTATTTTGTGAATTCGATATGAAGTCCCAGTAACGATAACGATACATCTTCTCGTTACGCTGTTACATGGCGCTGACCAGGAAAAAAAAAAAAAAAGGTACGCTGTTACATGGACACATAAAAGCTGACAACTATTAAGTGATATTATTGCACCTTCATTTTCTTTGTCTATTTGAGTGAACGTTAATAACTCGAATACTTATTTAAAGCAATATTCTGTATATTAAGGATCAACATCTATACCTTTTTAAAAAAAAAAAATGAACAACTGATAATTTTTTTTTCCATCCCGGGCAGTTTTTTAATAAAATTATTGTTTATTGTTGACATTCACAGCGTATTCTTGTTATTCGCATGCCTTTTTGTACGGTTTGCCTATAATGGTTCAATAATTAAATGCCCATTCCGTGAGACTAAATATACATTTCAGCCATATAAAGCAAAATTCGATAACACAAATACAGCATATAACTTGAAATTCCCTACAACAAGTAGCCTCGCATGTGATCTGGTTTTAACAATTTATATATATATATATATATATATATTTATATAGATATATTATGAAGTTTAATCAATTAATACGCCATATTTGAAGTACACAAAGCGATCAAGTTAGGACGTGGACATTAATTAGGCATTATCGGTGGGTTTAATTTGATTTTCAGTACTTCTCGGAGCCTCGCTTCTCACATGCCTTCCTAGCCAAAAAGCATACTCTTGGTTTTAGCTTAAGCCTGAGTCAAATTGAGCATTGTTTGGTCTCATTTCAGAGCTTGTTCTTAATATAACTTGCTTTGTCTGCCGAATTCACACTTCAAACCTTATTTAAAGGAAGCTACGTTTCTTCTATTAGCATTGTCAGTGCCCATTTCATTACTCTCTGGCCATTTTTTTTCCAAGTTATTGATTAGAAAATCAAAAATAAATTTGCTGCTGTTGAATAAAATTTATAACTATTTTGTGATAATATCATATATATTGTATTTCCTCAATTTTTATTTTTTTAGTCAATAAAGAATATGGTCCTCTTCTCTCTCAGTTTAATCCAATGAACTTTAATCTATGTTCTTTTTATACTAGCTAATTATCTTAAATATATAACGAAATCTATTCGCGTTTATCATTTTTTAACTAAAATATTTGCATCAATCTGATCGCAATCGAAATTAATCGATAGATAACGCCCTGCGTTCTGTAAGAGCTGAATTAACAACTCAACGATTTAAGATGCTTGTAAAATAAAAGGAAATAACTTTGACAAGTTTTAAACATATCAAAAATGAAAAAAAAATTACCAAGTAATATATTGTTTAATTTCTTAATTAAATTCATTTGATGTTCTCCCAGGCTTTAGATTTTTCACTGGAATATAATATTTTTTCATGATATGATTCATCAATTTAAGTTATATTTTCTGTTGAATAGATTAGGATATTTTAAAACAAGTGAGATAGAATGACCATCAGGATAAATCGTAGAAGATTGAACGCTATGATTTTAACTAAGAACTACAGTCTACAGCATCTCCCAAGACTCCCATGATAACAATAGTTAGTTAGTTTACTCAGTATAATATGTTTAGTTTAGTTTAATTAATTCTAAAAATTGATGAGTTAATGATATGGTTTCTGTCCAATATGTTTAGTTTAGTTCATTCAATTATTGTTATATCGAATTGGGGGCAGCTCTTCTAAAAGTATATATCTCTAGATTCACACAAATTTAAACTCGTGATCTATTATCTAAGTGGCTATAATTCTTTCCACTATGATCAAGACTGGCTAGTTAATTACTCTCATATGTTTTCTCTTGATTGCATTTTCACTACAATTTTGAACAGTTTGAATTAATTTTTCTTTTTTGTGTACGATCGAGTTCAAATTAATTAAACTTCAACAGTGAAGATTTTTAAAATCTATCAAAATCTATTCCAGATTTGTAGTGCTAAGCAGAGTGAAGCTACTTCCATCAAATAATTGACTAAATGGACCAAGAAAATAATACGAAATCAATATTTTAAATTTAACAGGGAATTATAATTTGTTAAATTATATTTTTTGCGCAGCTTGATTAAAGTTTCCAAGTACAGAGACTTATGATTTTTAATGAACTGTATATAACCCATCTATATATAAATGATTTTATTTCCATATATTTAAAATACGACAATTATATTTTCTATTGTATATTTTGAATGTTATCCTATGATACGTTGATTCAATTACAATAATTTGCTGGATACTATTTACAGACTCACCGGTGTATCAGATCATGAGGATCTCGGAGGCCAAAGGATCAACAAATTAAACCGAACTAAGTGTGGTATACACGGTCATGATTTGAGTATCTGAGGGAATCTATTGTGATTTATCCACTCAGCATCCCTTCAAGTTTGAATCCTTGTCGGCCATCCTCCAGCTTCTCTCAGCTAAACCTCCTCTGTCGTTGAAAATGAAATTAACGACTTTTCCCGCCCTCTCTTCCAAAACGCGTGCCTTTCTTTTTTTGGTTTCATCTCAACCTCTTTTTATTATATATATTTTCGAAGGATTCGCGATTATATCGCCCATCCTAATCTGCCTCGTTACTACCTCAACCCCATGATTACATATAGAATCTCCTTTTATTTTGGAGATCGCAGCTCCCAGTCTCTTTATGTATAATTTCAATCACATTAATTAATTATATATTCGATATGATTATAAACATGTCCAGTAGCTTTTTAACCTTTTAGTAAGTCTGCTTTTAATGTGTTTTCTATTCAACACATCATTATTTTAATTACTAATTAATGAATCCAGAACCCTATCAAAATTCAGCAGCAAGCTGAGGTAACTAATTCAAGGGTTAATAATTAAAAACCATGGTCAAAATTTGATGCGTAATTTGTCATGCCGAATCAGTAATTTAGTAATCCAACCGAGCAGATTAATCAAATTTTGTAGAGGCGAGAATATAAAAATATGCATCCCACTAAGGGGGGAGGACAGCATCTTGGGTTCAACTCACACTCCACAACTCCCCCACATTGCCCTATGGGAATGATGCATGTCTCCTTTACTTGTCATTCGTATCCTTGTTCTCGGATTTGTCAACCATTCATAAATTCCTATCAGCATGATTTAACCCCAATATTTCCATTTCTAAATCTCCTCTTTATTATCTCTTGATCTTCCATTCCTCCACATTCAGCCTTTTTTAAACCATTTTTAACTTCCATAATAATAATAATAATGACAATGATAATGATGTGCCCGCCCCACCCTCCTTTCCTTTAGTCGAAAACGCCCAACTTATGTAATTGGTGGGGCTAAGGGTTTCTAATATACTTTTTTCAATGTAATGTCCCAACTTATTAATTTTATTTTTAATTTTTTTAAATCATTAAATTTTATATAAAATAAAAAAATTTGGATATCTTGATATTTTAAAATAATAAAGATTTATATTTTTTATAATTTTTTAAAAAATATCACAAATACACCCTTATATTTTTAAAAAATTATAAAAAATATAAAGTTTTATTATTTTAAAATATTAATATATTTAAAGGTCTCTTATTTTATATAAAAGTTAATAATAAAAAAAAAAAATAAAATTAATAAATTGAGGCATTACAGTATAACGGACATTAGGGAAAAGGCACCCTTAGCCCGTACTTGGTGCTCATCCTTCTGCTTAAACCTCCTCCATTCAGCTGGCAATACAGAAACAGAGCAACCTACAAACCAATATTCATTCTCTTCATCGCCTCCAAATTTCCCCAACCCCACTCTTCTCTTCATATATACTCCACTGTCGTCCGGGCTCTGCCTAACAGTGACTTGTTAATAGCTTTCATTCTTCATGGGGTATTGCCTGCGAGAAATAGAAGGAAAGCAAGCCAATGATCCGTTGTTCATTGAGAAAATGAACGAAAACAAATTGTCTTATCGTGGGCGAAGCGTGTGGGTACCAGGTCCGGTGATCGTTGGGGCAGGGCCTTCTGGTCTCGCAACCGCAGCTTGTCTGAGACAGAGAGGAGTGCCGAGTTTGATTCTAGAAAGATCCGACTGCATAGCTTCTCTGTGGCAACACAAAACCTACGATCGCCTTCGTCTTCATTTGCCCAAGCAGTTCTGCGAGCTTCCATTGATGGGTTTTCCCAGTAATTTCCCGACGTACCCGACGAAGCAGCAGTTCATACAGTACTTGCTGAGCTATGCGGAGAGGTTCGACATCAGGCCGAGGTTCAACGAAACGGTGAGGCAGGCGCAATTCGACGCCACGCTTGGGGTCTGGCTTGTGAAAACCGTGGACAAGGAGGAGAGGACGACGGAGTACTTGTGCCGGTGGCTGATCGTGGCGACGGGAGAGAATGCGGAGGCGGTTGTGCCGGAGATAGAAGGAATGGGGGAATTCGGAGGGGATATAAGGCACACGAGCTTGTACAAGAGCGGCGAGGAGTTCAGAGGGAAGAGAGTGTTGGTGGTGGGATGCGGGAATTCCGGCATGGAAGTGTGCTTGGACCTCTGCAATTATAATGCTGCTCCTTCTCTTGTGGTCAAAGATACAGTAAGAAACAATCCACTTTTTCTGTTTTCCCATTTAATCCTTAAATTAATATTTCTTTTTTCTTTTTTCCGAATTCCTGGACATGCACTTTGCAGCAACAGAAAAGTTTTGCGTGCATCTACTTTTGGAATTCTTCGTTTAATATGAAAAATGCTATTTAATATGAAAAATGCTAAATCTGACGGAGCAACAGATTACCCAATACATTTTGATTGATTCCGGACTCTCCTTTTCATCATGAATGGAGCAGTGGTTCCGGACAAAAACCCAAACCCAAGATCATCTCAAACCCCCTGTGTCTTTAAATGCAAAGAATGCATGCCTTCAGCAATAATTCTGGAAAAGTTTTGACACCACGATCGACCTGTGAGAATTACACCGCATGCAAGTCAGTTAGTCCTAAAAAACGTTTTTCTAATTAGCAAGTAAAACAAGCCCGTTTCATGTTCATTGTCATCTGGTGGGCTTCAAGCTCCGAAATTGATGGCCATTGTAGAGCTAGACATGATGGAATTGTCGAATATATTGATTGATAGGTGCACATATTGCCGAGGGAGCTGCTGGGAAAATCGACGTTTGGATTATCGATGTGGTTGCTGAAGTGGGTGCCCATGAGGATGGTGGACGCGTTTCTACTGATAGTCTCGTGGTTGATGCTCGGCGACACCTCTCGCTTCGGACTGAAACGCCCCTCCGTGGGTCCCCTTCGCCTCAAAAACCTTTCCGGCAAGACACCCGTCCTCGACGTCGGCACTCTCTCCTTCATTAAATCCGGCCACATTCTGGTACTCCCTCTCTCTCACCTGCCTCTTCCCCAGTAACTTGCTTTTAGTTTTAGTTTTTTAAAAATTATTATTCAGCGGTTTAATTTTATTTATTGCGTCTGTCAATATTTGAAGTATAACCGGGAGACTAATCAAATATAATAATGAATCTCCTGTTCATTGAAATCGGCCCTTTTTTTGTCGTGAGATTTCCCATCTTATCATTCTGGTTTTCAAATTTCAATCAAGCCGTCCGTAAAATTAGTGGGGTTAAAATATTAGATTTGTTCCAAAGGCAAAGGGACGAAAAAGGGAGCATTAATTCAACCACGTTTATTTAGCAGCCAGGCAAGGTGTTTAATTTTCCGGTTACCGAGGGGATTGGTCGTTTGACTGATTGAATGGATGTATTTTAGGTGCGTCCAGGCATGAAGCGGCTAAAACGACACGCCGTGGAATTTGTTGACGGCAGGACGGAGAATTTTGACGCCATCATACTCGCAACCGGTTACAAAAGTAACGTGCCCTCCTGGCTGAAGGTAAACGACCAGAAACCTTTCTTCTTTAGAATGAAAAAGATTCAGATATATATATTAACAAGGAAATGTGCAATGATCGAGGGCAGGAAGGAGACATGTTCAGCGAGGAAGATGGATTTCCGAGGAGGCCATTCCCAAATGGCTGGAGAGGCGAAAAGGGATTATACGCGGTGGGATTCACGAAACGAGGATTGCTGGGGGCATCCATGGATGCCAAGAGAATATCTCTAGACATAGAGCGTTGCTGGAAAGCCGAGACAAAGCATCCTCGTCACTTTTGGCACTACCCGATTCATGATTCACAGTGACACCACTTAAAGTTGGATTGTACATGACTCATCCATATCTGGTCATGGGAGGTTTTCTGTGGTGGCATCACACATGGGCTCATCTTTCCACGCCTGTACGTTCCACATTGTTGCTCCTCCATTCATAAAAGTGAGAAAGGGGCGCGAGAAAGATTCTCCCAACCATACATGGAGCCCCTCCTCAGCTTTCACCGGTCACCAGCCACCACGCTCTCGCTGGCCGAGAGACGAGGACGCATTATTGATTTTTTATTATGACAAAGCTTACTTGAGCTGGTGAGGGAGGACCCTCGCTCGCTAGCTAGCTGGCTAGCTGCTTATATCTGTAAATCTTCTACATTGCTGATGAACGATCAATTTACAGAGGATTTGAAGTAGAGTGGCAGCCAGAGAGGGATGGGATGTGATTGACAAGCCTATGGTTATATCATATATGACCTGTGCTTACTTTGAGTCTTTGACCTGTACATGCTTCTGATTAATTAATGTGGATTTTTCCCCGGCCATAAGAATTGAGTGTAACATGTTAATTGCCTCTTTGACTCTCTATCTCTCCATAACAATGCTCTGCTCTGTTACTCAGTTCAGTCTTTGGTCTCTTGACTTTAGGGAAGAAGGCGGAGACTAGTAGACGGAGAGGAAAACTGTTTCTCAACTCGGAATGGCGTGGCAGTGTGGTGGCTAGATAATGATGATCATGTACCCTGGGGGAGATGGTGGAGGTCCTCATGTACAGATTGGATTACCAGTTTCATGCAATTTCGATGTCGAAATGATTACACATTGCAAAAAAATACTAGCAAGGGCCACCATCACTTGATTTTCCTGCGAAAACCCTAACATTTCAAAGCTGCAATTACCCGTTTTCCCTTGTACCAACTTGGTTGATTGAACTCGGGTAATAGCAGCAACCATTGCTTTTAACTGCTCAAAGTGAGAACTTTTGCGATGCTTTATGAGGGAGGGGGAACCCCACAAAGTGCAAGTTGAGGCAAAATGACATCTGATTAAGCTCTGCCCTGTCACCTTGGTCTGATCTGATTCTTTGTGATCAGGAAAAGAAAAGGGTGAGGCCATATGGGGTCAACGTTAATCCAGAGCTACTGTCAAACTGTCATTTCTCGGAGCTTTGAATCCCCTTAGATCCTATCTTTTTTTATGTATATTATTATTCTAATCATTTCCATCTTCCGGGACCCATTCACAGATGGCCTGAGATGTTCCCTGAAATTTACCCCAAAACCAACCAATATTGGCTAAATCCGTTGAAAACCAAGTCACCGACAAAAAATTGGCACTCAACTGGTTAATATCGGTTCAATCTTTCTTTCATTTAAAAAACTAAAAAAAACTCACAAAATAAAAAATATTAGAAAGAATGACAATTAAAGATCTCATAAAAAAAAACTAATGATTTAAATCCTTTAAAGTTAACATCAGTAAATTTCTGTAAAATTTACTTTTAAAATAAAGAAAGAGAAGATTCAATCAATAAAAAATAAAAAAGAGAAGATTTTATATTTTTTAAAAAAGTAAAATAAAAAAATTACTAAAAAAGCTGAAAAAATTACAAAAATCACAAATCTCAATTTTAAAGGATTTAAATTCAAAATTAATATCAAATCACGAATCTCGTTTTAATTTGAATTCTTAAATCTTGTACCTATCCTTTTATGTGTCAGCCATGAAAATCTTTTTTTTTTTTTAAATACTGATTTCGATATTAATCTTTTTAAAGAATCCTTCTTCCAATACTGGGGCCCCATGAGTTAACGCAAGGCCCACAGAAGTTCCACATCTACCGCGTGTTT